TTTTCAAAATGTCGAGAAATGCTTATTCATCTTCATGAGCTTATACTATATATCGTATAGATGAGCTTATACAAAATTCTAGCATAATTGCATAAACCGTCTAATTTCGAAGTAGATGAATTATTGAACATGAAAGAGTCTTTATATGGAATAATATTTTGAAGTTATAATAAAACAGAATATTGCATCTTTGGAGTTTGTGATCTTTTGTTTATGCTGAATTCTTATGAAGAGCATGCAATGATAGGTTGTGATGAGATGCCAAAAGGAGACAAACTTGTCTTAAGGGGTTTAAAATTCCATGGATACCATGGGGTGAGGCCTGAAGAAAGGACTCGGGGTCAAAAGTTTGTAGTGGATGTAGATGCCTGGATGGACCTTCGAACTTCTGGTAAATCTGACCAGTTATCAGACACACTTAGTTATAGTGATATTTACCGGTGAGTTTAATTTGGAGTAACTTTCTTCTTTCTTTTTATACTATTTTAATTTTATTGTACTTTAACAATGTAATAGAGTCGGTAGCATTTAAAAAAAAAATAATAATTCTTTGGTGCTTCTTTTGGCACAATATTTGTCATTAATCATCATTTCAACATTTGGATTTGGCAGCATAGTAAAAGCAGTTGTGGAGGGATCACCACATGATCTTCTTGAATCTGTGGCTGAACACATTTCATCTACAACCCTGAGCAAATATCCCCAGATAAATGCTGTGCGTGTTCGGGTTGGAAAGCCACATATTGCGGTCCAAGGACCAGTCGACTACTTGGGCGTTGAGATCATTAGATACCGAGGGATTGACATATAAATCCACAAGGCTAATATTCTGCTGGGCGATCCTTCTCCGAAATCTATACAATGTGTGTTTTTCTTGTATTATAAATAAAACTCTTCATATATAACTTTCATATTGATGAAACTTTAAGTTTAAATTGATTGATGAGGTTAAGTTTGCTGTTTGATGTCTTACATTGCATTGTCAGAACATATCTAGGTTTTTAGTGCATGAATTGAAGAAGGCATTCAAAAATGTTTTAACAATAACTATAAACATTATAGGATTTTATTTTTATTTTTTAAAAAAGAATTATTTTATTGTTATGGATGTATGTTACAAGGAAGATCATATTCTCAAAGTGACAAGTAATATGGTATATTTATAGTTTTTAAGTTTTGTTGAAGATCATATTCTTAAAGTCACAAGTAATGTGAAATATTTATAGTTTTAAATTTTTGTTGAAGATCATATTCTCAAAGTCACAAGTAATGTGGAATATTTAATAGTTTTAAATTTTTGTTAGTGATTGAATATCTATCCATTTATAGGGTTTCGTGTAAAGATTGATAGAAATTAGTTTATTGCATTATTCATTATTCATATAATAATCAAATGCAAAACAAAAAATTAATAATTTAGTAAAAAATATATAGTATGAGTAGTCCAACAAACTCAACCTTAATTAATATATGGAGTAAATGTCAGCCAAAGTCTTTTGAGTTTGGTGGTTTTGTCACTTTTAGTCCTAAACTTTCAAATCGATCACATGTGGTCCTCTGAGTCAAAGAAATGGGAGGATGAAGACGTACGAAGAAATGGGAGGAGATTAGGGCTAATTTATGAAGGAAATGATTTGTTTTGACTGGAGTGATCGATTTGAAAGTTTAGAATTAAAGGTGGCAAAAATACCAAATTCAGAGGACATTGGCTGGTATTTACTCATAATGTGTATCTGTATAGTATGAGTACTCCAACAAACTCATGCCCTTGCGAGAAATGCTGACTTTCAGTATGATTAAGGGTTTTGGTTTATCCATCCTTTTTAGTTTTTTGGTTAGGGCGGGGTTAGGTTTGTCATTCATTTTTAGTTTATTTGTGATCTTTTAATTGCTTAATGATATACCGATTATCTTTTTAAATATTATGCCTGTAAATGCAATAGTTATGCTGTGCAATTGTGTGCACCATGTATGGTGCACACGGGTGCAAAATGACACCGTTTTAACTGAAAACGTGCGTCTTATTTAAAAAAAAATATTTAATTTCGATTCCTCTCAACAACATTATGTTGTTCATTCATTGTGGATATTTAGTTCATTTATTCTGGATTTTTAGTTATTCATTCACTGTGGATATTTAGTTCATTCATTGTAGATATATAATCAAATTATGCACAAAAAAAATGCTATTGTGGGGAATTGAGACGCGCGTTTTTAATCAAAACGACGTCGTTTTTGCAACCGTGTGCACCACAACATAATTTGCGCTGTTAAATAATTAAATATACATGTGGGCCCTTGTTAACATTTGAAAGAAACTACTAAATATTGGTATTGGATTTCCAAATCTTATTGGAGATTTGGAATAGGCAAATGGGCAACGGTTAGGGATTCAATTTATATATATATATATTTACTATTTTTATATTTATTTATTATTTATTGTTGTTGTTGACGACCCTGTTTCCTAATATAATTAGCTTATCAACCAATTTTGATTTGTTTGATTTGATTAAACAGACAAAATGAGTATTTGGCTAATCAGCTTTTTATAACAGTTTATTGCTCTAAAAAGTCAAAATTCAAAAAAAATCAAAATAGCTTTTTTTCAACCAATTTTTTAATAAAATAAATTATACCCTTAAAGATCATTTTGCATATAATGCTAATTACCAAACATCTTTCTACAACTAGCTAATGTTTTTAGCTAGTCAATCTCGCTAACTCAATCCGCTAACAACTATCAACTAATATTTATTTGTCCAACACCGTCTATTTACGTATTACTTTCAATTGCTTGTATTTTTTGCCTATTGCTCGTTTGCACATTTTTTTTAATTTTAATTTTTAATTGCTTGAACAGAATTAATATATTGCTATAGTAGTTGATAGCAAATAATTAATGATTTATTTGTTACTTTTTCGGCACACAATGTTGGCTTTTAGATGGAACTATATCGTGGGCGGACTTGATTTCCATTCATAAATACTACGGAGTATTTTTTTTATTTTTTATTTTTGGGTCATGATGTTATTGTATTGGTAATTAATGTATAATATGATTTGGATAAAAATATATATTGTCCCCGTCATACTCGTAACTATGCCTAGCAAAGGAGTTGGAGTGATTATTGTGGCGTAAACTTATATTTTAAAAAGATTTCTGCGAGAGGACGAACTGGGCATTTTTGGCGATTCGAATATTTTGAGGTCAGCTAATGATTTTGGATGTGCTCCCCTCTACCCAAAAATAAATAAATAAATAAAATAATTGGAGGCAGTCATTCAGAGCACGAGCACGTCTAGTTGGTAAATTATTATATGGATCATGAATATCAGATACATTTTAAATATATTAAAAATATATTATTTTTGTATTGAAAGTATATTATATAAAATAATGTACAATTAGTATATTTAAAATGTACTTTCAAAAAATATATCTTATATGCATAAATAATGTATTTATAATATATTAAAAATGTATTTTTTATTTATAATCCACATAATTGTATGTACCATGGTACATGCAATAATGATTGCGTCTAATTCCCTTACCTTTTAGTTGGAGGTGTCAAGTGGCCCAGACCAAATTTTGCGTCCTTTTTAGCCCAATAAGAATCTCTCCTAGCCCATTGGGCCTATCTTCCAAGCCAATTGAGCCAAATAGCAGTTGTTATATTATAGACCGCGGTGCATAATCGATTATGCACCGCGGCCCATATACGGCGCCGTTTCTTTACTTAAAGAAACGGCTCGCCGTTAGAGTTAACGGAGTCCGTTTGTTTGGTGTATTAAACACCAACTGACACTACAGTATATCCAAACCGACACTGCAGTTATATCAAAATGATACTATAGTTATAGTGAAATGAAACTGCAGTGTATATAAACTGAAACTGAATAACATTTCACATATTTGAGTGTATATTGTACAATGAAGCTGTAATTATATCAAAATGATCATGTGGTTGTGTTTTAATAAAACTATAATGTATATAAAATAAAATTAAATAACATTTTCACATATTTGAGTCTATAAAATATCGAATGAAACTATAGTTATATCGAAATGAAACTGTAGTTGTGTTCAACTGAAACTGCAGTGTATACAAAATGACACTGAACAACAGAGTTACTTTTTGTAAAAGGGTGCGAAACGGCGGAAATAAACACTGTTAATTTTCATTTAAAAAAAAGACGCGCGGTGCATAATATAATTTGCCGCCAAATAGGTCACTCAATCAATCGTTATATCCTACACCACGGCGCACATAGCATTGTGCGCCGCGCGCCTCCCAAAACGACATATATATAAAGCACTATCTATCTATCTATCTATCTATCTATATATATATATATATATATATATATATATATATATATATATATATATATATATATATATAATTGAACAAAAGCAAGGAGGAGTATAGAGCTTGAATCAATATTGATAATCATTCAAATTTCGCCCTACTAATAAACATGCAAAATACATTCACAAAAACTCATATTCTTACCAAGTGTTTTGATTCTCATTCTCATGTGCGAACCAAACACACGATATATATTTTCATACAAACTCAAAATAAATTCACATCAACTTAATATATATGAATTAAATTTAATTCAAATATTCAATTTTACAAAATCACCTAAAATGTTCAGATATTACTCGAACCCAACCCCGCTTGCCTAAACAAGCCTAATAACAGTTGGGCCAGCTTTACTTCTCACGCCAAACGCAGAGCACCACACGCCAAGCGCACGTTTAACGTCTCATCTCGTAAACGTGCACACAAGCATCACCCCTCCCGCCCGCAAATTCCACGTCACCCTTCCGCATCGCCACGTGTCGATGCAGCAACGCTGTGTGTCAGACGTGGCACCCCCTCGCCATGCTTTTCTTCCCATTCCAACATGTGTCTCTTCCATGTTCCGAAACTCACACCGTACGTTTTAAAAACCCAGCGGAATTCATAGTTTTCTTCTGCAAGCTAAGCCGTTAATGGAATCTTTTCGAGGAATGATGGCGGCGATTCCGGCGAAGCGTACGCCGCCGCAGTGGCAGGTGATTGCTCTGGTGGCGAACCATTTGGATCCGAAATCGCTGGCGGTGGCCTCGTGCGTCTGCAAATTATGGTTCATTTCCATGTCCTCCGATCATCTATGGCGGTCCATCTGCACCGCGCGGTTCCCTTCTCTCTCGACTCTCCGCCTCGCGGACCCGGGCGTCCCGTACCGGAGACTATACGCGCTCGGGCGAGCGTCGGAGACGCGCCGCCTCAGGAAGCGGCCGCCGCCTTTGCTCTCCATGTCCAGCATCATCTTCGCCGTCAACGTCTTCCACAAGGGCTCGTCCCTCATCACCGTGGTGAAGCCCGGGAGCGAGCTCGACGTCGACCGGAACGGCGTTTTCCGGTTCGACGTTGACGTCGCCGTCGCCGGAGGCGGAGGCGGGAGTTTGGCGGGAATGCAAGAGTTGCGCGACGTGAGAGTGACGTGGGACGTGGTATTGGAAGGGTACCAATGTAAATTCACAATGCTGGACTGCGAAGGGAAAGGGAACTTGGTGTCTGGATTGGAAGCGTGGTACTCGGAGGAGCTTCCGGCGCCGGGGTGCTGCTCGGCGTCGAACGATGCCGTGAGCGGCCTGGTGTCGGATCTGAGACTGGGATTGAAAGAAAGGTGCGGAAGAATAGTGGTGGCGAATATGAGCTTAGGGTTACTGAATATAGTGAGCTGGAGATATGTTCTAGTGGTTGATACTCTCAGATATTTGCAGCATTTTCTTTTACCCTAATTCACTACGTTCAGCCCTCTTTTACTTTTGTCAAAGAAAAAGTATCAATACCAAGTCAAAGTGTTTCTCTCAAATGGGAGGTTTCCACGGTGGTATTGATTATTTTTGCTTCAATAGGTTAAGAAAGTAGTTAAAATTATAAACAGATACTGCATTTGACACTAAAGAAGTGTTTCTCTCAAATGGGAGGAGGTTTTCAGTGGCAGTGGTATTGATTATTTTTGCTTCAATAGGTTGAGAAGTACTTATGAATTATGTTATGAACAGATACTGCATTATAACAGAGAATAAGGGGTACTCAAAGAAATTATCAGTACCAATTTGATATTTTTAAACATTCATAAATGTTACATACGGACTCTAGGGAAGTAGTGAGTTTTTTTTACTAACAAATGCAAACAAAAACCAAATTACTTGTATAATGAAAAGCTTACAGACAAGCAGAGCTATGACAACTTAGGTGCTCTTATCCAACACAGGCAAACAGGCAGCTAAAACATCGGCTGCTTGCTCTAATTCCTGCTTTGAGATGATGAGAGGAGGAACAAGCCTCACAACGTTGCCTTTTCCGGCAGTTAAAACGAGGAGGCCGGAGTTTTGACACGCCTCCACGAGTGGCGTTGCCGCCACATCGAGTTCTATGCCGATGATCAGCCCTAAGCCTCTTATCTCCTTCACGTGATTGTTTCCTCCCAACTTCTTGCCCAACAATTCTTTTAAGTACTGTCCTTTGTCGGAAACACTGGCCAGAAATTCCGGGTTTGAAATTTTCTCCAGTACAGTGACTGCGGCATTGCACACCAGAGGACCACCGGCAAAGGTGCTGCCATGATCTCCATAGTTTATGGCAGCGGCTACCTTCTCGGTCACCAGCACGGCCCCGATAGGTAGACCTCCGGCAAGGGGCTTGGCTAGTGTCATTATATCCGGGTATACACCATATGCTTCATGCGCCCAAAGATAACCAGTTCGTCCTAGGCCACATTGAACCTATAAAAAAGATCAATGGTTATTAAATCTTCATAATCCGAGGCTCATCTAAGTTGGTAAGACTGTTGAATTGGTAACCACAAGATTATAAGTTCAACTTTCAACATAAAAGGCTTATTCGCCTTCTTGATTTGAATTGGTCAACTATGGGTCCCAACGCACACTCTCAAATAGTGGATGCGAGTTTTTCTTGTCACTCGTAAAATATATATAATAATTAATAACAATGTCCAAACAACAATACAAAACAAAAAACATCAATCTTCATATTCCAGGGTAAAAACTATGTTTCAATTTGTCCTAGGCTGTACTAAACCTTCTACATTGGAGGTGAGGGGTAGATAGGAGGTAGGAATGTTCCATTGATAGGTCCAAGAAGGTGCCATCCATGTTTCCATTGAGACAAGAATAAAAAACCAAACACAATATCAAGATTCAATATGTATTAGAGAGCACAAAACAATAGATACCAACTAAGATCTATAAAAGAATAGAAACATGGCAACAAACTGCTTTGCCTTCCTAAACAAAAGGACTCATTCTAAGAGCATTAGACTCAGAAAACCACCAGTAAAAACTACAACACTTTTCATCATTTTAGCATATCTACAGACCAAGTCAAGAAAAGGATGCCAAAAGATACATCCCCATCCCCCACCCCAAAGTAGGGTACGATAAGGATCCAATTCCCATAAACAACCTATTTAGAATTTTAGATTAGGGTCTAGTAGATGCAACGAGCATGAAGAATGAAGAGATATTATCCATTTTAGATTAGGGTCTAGAAGATGCAACGAGCATGAAGAATGAAGAGATATTATCCTGCCAGTTCTCTAGTAGGTGCAAAGGACAAGCGAGAACATTCAAATTAAACAATAACAGAAATTGTCAATAGCCCCCATGAAGACATGACCAAAGTGCAACATTCACGAATATATCTAGTAGATTTGATATAGTAGATTGATTGCATACCTCATCAAACACAAGAAGTGAACCAGCATTATCACAGGAAGTACGTAGAGCTTGTAAAAACTCCTTTGTAGCACTATATATGCCCCCTTCACCCTGGATTGGTTCCACAAAAACGGCAGCAATTTTTCCACTCTGAATCAGTTCTGTTGCTGCCTGAATATTACCATATTCTAAGAAAGTAACTCCCGGCATCACAGGTTCAAATGGTGACCTATAATGCTCTTTACTTGTCAAAGCAACAGCACCCATAGTCCTCCCATGAAAGCAATTGGAGAAGGCAATAAACTCCACAGGAGGCTGCTCCATGTCAGGATGTGAAAATCTCTGGAACTTCCTTGCAAACTTAATTGCAGCTTCATTTGCTTCAGTCCCAGAATTTGAGAAGAAAACACGGTCAGCAAATGAGCAACCAACAAGGCGTTTTGCCAGTTCAACCTACATGAAGTCATGAACAAAGTACTTTCTTGTTTGCTTGCAGCAATAAACAATCAGAAATATTTCACCAGTCACATAAGAACCCATCATCAGATTTACTGTACCCTTAACCTTATCTCTCTCTTTGATTTTTTAAAAATTTATTCTGTGAAAATAATGAAGTAATAATAATTAGAAGAAGAAGAAGTAAAATGTAGTTATCCATCCTAAAATCAACATCTCTTGGCCTATCACCCACCCCAGGACTCACTAATTTTGTTTTAGAACTACTTTAGACCAAAGATATCAAAATAACATTCTCACTAATTAAATTCCCAAAAATCTACCATAAACCTCTAGGGGTTAAGCATTTTACCCTGAAGGAATGGAATAAATGCAAAAATAAATAAAATAAAATCTTCACCTCTAAATTGCAGATCTTAAGTAACTATTTAGAATTTCCACTTTGTAGTTTAACTTTCATATGACAAAAAGGGCCAACCAAGAGAGTATTCTTAATAGCCAACAACCAAGGGATTAAGGATTTTAACAAACCTTGAAATTTTTTAAAATGAAAAGTAAACCTACCTGCGGAAGTGAATGGTAGATATTGCTGACGTGAGTTAGGATATTAGCCTGTTGGGTAACCGCCCGGACCCAATCGGGATCGGCATGGCCGAGGGCATTGACGGCAATCCCAGAGGTCAAGTCCAAGTACTCTCGCCCTTCAACATCGTACAATTTACAGCCTTTGCCACTAGAAAGCACCAGGGGAGCTCTGGCATAGGTCCCCACGAAATACCTAGCAGATTCCTCCATAATCTCCCTGCTTTTCTCCCCGATTCCCAACTCCGCCGCCCCGGAATCCGGTGCGCGCGTTTCCACGTTGAGGCACGCCACCACTCTCCCGCCGCCATTGCAATGAGGGATTGCGAGTCTCCTGTACTGCGGAAAGAGATTGGTCGCGCGGCGGAACTTATTGGCCGCCGGCGAAAGCGGATTGTGGTTGGTGAATAGGTTGGCTGAGCAGCTCATTATTGATCAGCGAAGAAGACGAATAGAACAAGCTTTGGAAAATGGCGGAAGTGTGGAGTGGGGAGGTTTTGACGCTTCTATTTAAGGGTGCGTTTGGTAGGGACAAAGGGAAAACGAGAAACACGGCTACTAGAGATTCCCATCCAAACAAATCTCTGCGCACATTCTACCTCCATAATTCCTGAGCTCGTGATTTTGGAGTGTAAAATATAATAGTTATACAATATGAAATTTCAATTTTGTTTATATGACTACAGAGATCTTGTTAATTTAAGTTATTGGCTTTTTAAAGTGTCAATTTAAGAGCTAATAATGCCTCCATTGAGACTCAAACTCACAACCTTCCAAATGGAAGTTCAACCCGGGTACCATTGGACCACATTGTCCTAGTGTCAATTTAGAACCTTAATTATGTAATTTTTGTCAATTTTAGTCACTCCGGTCAAATTGCCGGTCAAATTTCGCAGAAAAATTTTAATAGTTAAAATAATGAGGGTATTTTGGTCGTTTCACGCCTCGTTTCTCTCCCTCTGGCGAGTCCATCTCTTTCTCTCCCGTTTCCGGCGTTCTTTCTCCCTCTAAACCCTATCTTTTTTTTTTTTTTAAATGGGAGGGGGACCCCAGCGAGAAGTTAATTTCTCCCACTGCGCGAACAGAAGACACAGATGTATTCTCTCTCAATTATCTCATCGATTCTGGCTGGGGAAAGAGAAGTCCTTCCAGTTTCCATGCATGGCTATACTCCAAGAAGCAATGGCATCCGCACTTTCGTTTTGATCTCTTGGGATGCTACATATCTTCAATTTTCACTCTTTTTTGAGCCACTGACGAATCTCATCAATGTATACGCATATGGGACATCTTAGTTGGGTGTTGTCTGAGATCCACTTGACAATTACTTCCGCATCAGATTGAATCTCAATGTCTTTGAAACCTCCATTCCATGCCTAATGAAGTCCTCTGCTGATTGCTTCGGCTTCAACAATTGTGGCATTCTTGTAGCTGGATTTATTATAGAATCCTGCCACCCACTCACCATTTTTGTTTCTCAGCACTCCTCCATACCCGGCTTGCTGTGTAGCATGTTTCACATTAGCATCCACATTCAGCGTCCATCTGTTGGTAGTCGAAGGTTTCCAGTATTGGACTCTCTTATTTGTGGCAGACCAAAGTGTGTTTGACTCATCTTTTCTTCTAAACGCTCTGGTGATCTCCTCCTCAGCCTCAAGGATCCACATAATTTTCCTACTTGGATCCATCTCCTCCTTTCTGAAGATGAAGTTATTCCGCCATATCCAGTTCCACCAGATTGCTATAGCAAACAACCTTGGCTTGTTGATTCCATCATTTTCCATGCTCTTTGGCCGAATATAGTGAGAAATCCAGTTGCGCAAGTCGTGGTTATGGAGGTTATAGTTTAATATCATCAAGCCTCATTTCCCCATCATCTTAGTTCATTGTATTCACCGGAAACGGGAGAGGAAGGGATGAACTCGTCTGAGAAAAAGAAAAGAGACGTGAAATGATCAAAATACTCTCATTATTTTAACAATTAAAAATTTTTGGCGAAATTTGGCCGACAATTTGGCCGGAGTGATCAAAATTGACAAAAATTACATAGTTAATGTACTAAATTGACACTTTTAAAAGTCTAAGGTCTGAAACTAACAACCCCTATAGTTATGATCAAAATTGAAATTTCCTCAGTTAGACAATTATTTTGTACCATCATTCTACTATTATAGCAGCACAAAAAATCAAAATTCATTGTTGGTACAAATTTAACTCACTGGTTCAATACGTCTTTCATAAATGGTCGTGACTGTTCGTGAAGAAGACAGTCATCAACTGTCCGGTGTGGACCGCCGATTTTTTTTTTTAAAATAATATTTGTAATTTTTAATAAATAAAAAAATTGTTTTTTTTTTTTAAAGACACATGTGAATACCGTATAGATTTAATATGATAAATACGTCAATTTGAACTGAACGATTTTATCACTTTAGTCTAGTTTAGGAGTATCCAATTGACTTAAGGGGTCAATTTGACACTTTTTTCTAGAGTTCTATTACATGTACTCCCTCAAATTTACTCATGATATGGCAGACACTGATAGACTATTTTCTTCATGTGGATTCCCGTAAATATGTCTAAATCAAAATTGTAAGTGTAGAGTAAAAACTGAGAGTAGAGAATGAGAGTACATATATCATTTTTCTTAATAGTAACCAATTAATTAATGACAGGGTTAGATTTGAGGAAAAAATATATGAAGAATATCTAGCTTTACTCAAATGGAATTATATTACTTTTTCTTATTTTTCTTGCTCTTTTTCATGTATTGTTGATGATAGGGTCAATTTTTTGATTTTTGAAGTCCCGACCTTATAAATAAGTGAGACCTTATCAAAAGTATACATGTAATTTTCAAAATTAATACCGTAAAATATATGATTATTTCTTTTAAGTTACAGAATGATTTTGGCATGCTCAATTAATAGGTTATAATTATTAGGAGCAATGAGTGATTCGGAAAACGATTAATGAGCTCTAAAATTATTTGTAATTTTTTTTTTTTTTGATTTCTTACCTAATTAAGTCAAAAATAAATATTAAGTTCTCTACAAATTGAGGCTATTTGCTGTTGTTCATTTTACACGTCCAAAATCCGATCATGTTGACTGATAGTACCTAATAGGCTAATACGGAGTATATGATGTTCTTTAAAAAAAAAAAAAAAAAAAAAGAGAGAATTATGTTGCTACAAAAAATATTCCCATTGTCGTCGAGTTGTCCTTAAGCTGGCTGGTGGCTGCGAGTTTTTGGGGTCACAAGACAAGTACACAACAACCAAATATTCGTTACCCCGCCGATCCAAATTTCATACACAGATTATAGATAGCCTATCCAGAAATAGAAAAAAAACCACCGGCTTCTGCGCTCACTCCGCCTGCCGCCGCCACCACAACATTTACAGTAAGCTCTATTTCTCCTCAACTGCTATCTCATTTCGCTTGCCGCCTATATATGCATCGGCGTAGGCTCGAAATAGCTGGAAGTAAAAAAGTAAACGGAAATTGGAATAGTGTATTTGAATTTATCTATCGTGAACGCCACCTTATCATGTAATGGAGGATATCTCCTCCTACCGCCAGAGATATAGGGCTTAAATCCTCATTGATGCCATGATTGCTTATATAATAACTGATAGTTTTGCAAGGATGCAGAGCACAAATGTTTTTGTGTTGTTAGCTGTAAAATGGCATACAATTTGATCATATAAATTGTATCTTGTGAGCTGTGAACGCTAGGACTGGAGGATGTTGCCTCTCTACTGTTAGAGGATAATAGAGCTTAAATCCTTGTTGATGCCATGGTTGATTGTATGATACTGATAGCTGTGAAAGGATACTGAGCAAAAATGCTTTTGTGTTGTTAGCTGTAAATGGCATACAATTTGATCATATAAACTATACATTGTGAGCTGTGAATGCCACCTTATTAGGACTGGAGGGTATTGCCTCCTTACTGTTATAGAGGATAATAGAGCTTAAATCCTTGTTGATGCCATGGTTGATTGTATGATACTGATAGCTGTGGAAGGATACTGAGCAAAAATGCTTTTGTCTTGTTAGCAGTAAAATGGCATACTATTTAGCAACAAAAATTGACAGACTCTGTCCAATTGGAATTGGATAAAACTCTTCCCAAATTAATTTGTGAATCCTAACTTGTAACACATTTTAAGTCCCTTTTATTTTCTTTTGGTGTTTTGTGGTTGCAGGCTTATTCTTCTAATGCTAGTATATAAGAACCGATGTCCAAAGCCAATGAGTTGGTTTTCTAAGATTTATATTGGGGGACACCAATTTCCTTGTAAATTTATACTAAGGGCCTAGAACTGGGCTTATTGGAATTCCTGTGGTTCAAATTAGAGTTGGAGGACTGCAGACTTTACCCTATATCAGATTAAAAGGTACATTATCCTATACTACAAAAATTCCCTGCCTCTAGTTTGATACTTGTATATGCATATTGGTTATTGTGATGCTACTCATTTACTAGATGCAAAGTTTTTGATCCTTGCATTTTAACTTTTAATCTTTTTTTCTTTTTTTTTTTTTTCTTTGTTTTTTAGTTAGAGGACATAAGATTATGGAAAAGCTGAAGAATGAAAAAGTTGAAGAAACCTCTCAAGTTAAGGGGGTTACATCCACATATGAATATGCTATGGAAAAACTCTCATCTCTAATCACTCGGAAAAAGCGGGATGGTAAATCAACAATAAGTGAAATAGAGAAACGGGAAAGGATGTTGAGTTTTATTGAGGTAAATGTCCTTCTCAATAATAGAGAATTTGGCTTTAATCTTTTGTGAACTAATTGCTTCTTGGCTTCTTGCTAGTCTAGTTGGTGGTATTTTTCTGCTTCAACATTCTGTGCCCTAAAGGCTTCTGAACATAACTGACACTCTTATGTAAAGTTATTGATGCAATAATAAGCAGGCTTGGTACTAAATATTTGGTACCAAAAGTATGGATCATCTCCCCAGCTTCCACAGATAGCATTTCATGCCTTTCTAGATGCACTAGTAACTGACATTTCAATCTTATATAAATGTGATATGAGATACTCAGATGTCTTATTGTTGAAAGTGCTTTTATCTCTAGTTCTGCATATTCATGTCTCTCCAATGTTGTTTTTGCAAGAGTTCATTTTCCAATGTGGCTGATGACATTTGTCCATTGTATTGCCCTTCACCAAAACTATTTTGCCTCTATAGAAGAAAGCTTTCATTTTGTTATACTACACAGCATATATGATTCAATTCCATGATGCCATCTGCATCATTACTCACTAAAGTTCTACTTATAGAGTATTGGTTTTTAAATTATTTGGAAATTTACTATCATATATTAGGTAGCTTCAGTATTATCCTTCTTATTCTTTGATGGACTTAAAAGTATAGTTTTGCTATACCTATGACAAGATGTTAGATAGCTTTTCCTGACAAATAATTTGCTCACACAAAGGGTTCACCCAGTCATGAATTGCTGTGTATTCACCAATTTTTTTTTCAAGCTGTTAGATTGTTATAATTTGCAGATCTTGAATATATGGTAAACTGGTGAATCATAGAAGCTGCATTTTTTGTTTCAGATTTTGGGACTGGAAAAGCAGATAGCTGGTCTTAAAATTATACATGTTGCTGGAACCAAAGGAAAGGTGGCTTTTCTTTACCATTTAAATGTTGTTATTTTGCAATCTTTAGTTGGGAAATACTTCAGCATTCTTTCTTTTGATTCTTTGCCTTATTTTTATGGAATTCAAAATGTAGGGTTCAACATGTGCATTCTGTGAAGCAATTTTGCGGGAGTGTGGCTTCAGAACTGGCCTTTTTACTTCTCCTCACTTAATTGATGTGAGAGAAAGATTTCGTTTAGATGGGTATATATTGTGTTCATTAAATATGTACCCTTTTAGCTATTCATGAACTTTTCATGTTGTCAAAGAGTAGATAGCCAGCATTAGTGTTTTAAATTTTAATAACTATACTTTGAAGTTTGAACAGTGTTGGTGTAATTCTGTAAATGTACCCGGGTAATAGACTAACCAAGCAATATTGCCAGAAAGAGTAACATAATGAGAGGGAAAGTTGAACCCAAGGGCTTCTTTTATTAATTTAGAGCAATCACAAAGATGCTGCTTGTAATCACTAGAAGTCTAGAATGCTCAAAAAAAAAAAAAAAAAAAAAAGTCTAGAATGCAATGAAGATTGCTTGGATACAACTGGAGGAAAAAGGGTTCTAATTATAGACTAGGGAACTGTCCTTTTCCTATCCTAGATGAGAAAGGAATTCCCTAGTACATGCCATAATGCAATTAGGAAACTAAGTACAAGATATGGAGAATTACGAGATACTTCCCTAATAAACTAGGCAACTAGTATCTTCCACATAAGATAATTACCCTTTGTATTTTAGGTAATTAACCTCTATGTATGTTGATCAATAAAGATAGGTCCTTTTCTGCCTGAGTGAGATGCCTGGGTTGACAACTTGACATCTCAGTGAATTCTGAGTACTGCCATTGCAGCTGTATTGTTTGACCTGGGCTTCAGGTCCTCAGACTAATGCATGCATTATGAGCTTGGCCCAGTCTACCATTTGCTTAGTCTAGGCCAGCTCATTAATGAAGATGTCCGCTTAAACTGGGCCAATAACTTGGCCCATTAGAACGGGAGGGTATTACCCTGAACAAACAACAGTTGTCATTCATTTGCTATATATTGCAAAGCACAGTATTGACCATTTTTTCATGTTAGGAGGCAAAATTCTTGCTAGTGTTGAAAAATAGTTATGTAGGTTATCTATCATGTATACTCTTACTATTCACTGTTTTGCTTTCATTCTATAGGTTGGACATATCTGAGGAAAAGTTTCTGCAGTATTTTTGGGAGATTTGGAACCAGCTGAAAGTATTCTTTCATTCTTGTAGCTCATTTGTTGCCTAGTTGTATCTTTATACGGAGTATTATTTTGCTACCTTTCTATTTCCCAGTTTTACCATGAATTAAGATATCCAAGTGAAAAAGGCTCTTTGCTCTTTACTGTAAGACACTTTTAGGCGAGTAACAGACACTTGAAGTTATGATGATCATATTGCAAAATTTCTACTCTCCAAGGAATTATTGTAGTTTAGGTTGCCAGTAATAGAGACTCAATTACACTGAGATTGGAATTAACCATTTTTTATTATTTACATATGAATCCCTTGATTTAGTCATTTTCTTCACATACTGTCAAAATGTATAAGAGTTACAAATGTTATTCCCCTTTTACAAATCAGCAATCATCTTTCTTTTCAGCTTGTAATGTTTTTGTGTGTGTTTGTGTGTGTGTTGAAATTAAAGTATACTCATAGAGTACTGCCTGTCATTGAATCCAATGATTTGGCACATTAAATGAACTTATTCCTTTAATACTAAAAGTGATCATGACTCATGAGAGTTTGATACTTAATCTAATTCCAGTTAATTGGCCTGCTTACTGCTCAGTTCTATTCTAATATGCAGGATAACATTGTGGAAGGCTTACCTATGCCTCCTCTATTCCAGTTCTTAACTCTATTGGCTTTCAAAATTTTTACATCTGAGAAGGTATTTTTTCTTTATATATATATATATATATATATATATATATATATATATATATATATATATATATATATATATATATATATTATTTTTATTTTTTTTATTTTTTCATGTTGATCTCTAATTTGTGGGTCTCAAAATTTCTGAAGCTTAAATGTGCAATAAGAATAAATCCTGCTCATTCCAGTTATTCTATCTCATCTGCCAAATATTTCCCTAAAAAAGCCTCTAGATAGTCAATGAAAAATGTTGATCATTTTCAGTTGCTTTGTCCTTTCTTTTATAATTAAACAATAATCTATGTGTTACCTCTTGGGTGTCATTAATCACCAAAAACATTTTAACAGATGGTTTTGGGACCAAATGAGAAAATCTTTTCATTATTTACTAAATAGACTCTATGCTTTCATAGGTTGATGTTGCTATCATTGAAGTTGGTATTGGGGGAACATTTGACTCAACAAATGTGGTAAGACATCTCTTTTCAGGCACAGCTGAACTGATTACAGTGTTAATCAACTTTAATATGGGAGTCTGTCTCAAAAATGGCTCGAATAACATAGGAGTTAAAGAAATCTACTTGTCCTCTTTACTGAAAGACAATTAACTTTGCAGATCAAAGAACCTGTTGTTTGTGGCATTACTTCTCTAGGGATGGATCACATGGAAATATTGGGTAATTCCTTTATTATCCATCATCCTATTGCGTTGTTCTTTATGCAATCTATGCACTGCACTTATTCTTTATCGGGGCAAGGAACGGTTGATTCATATGTTAGTAGCCTGTCCTTGATTATGTCCAAACATTTTTCTTTGTGATGCACTTCTTCTTTTTGGTTAGTAAAATTCATAGAGGCTATACCTACTTATCGCCCCCCCTCACAAAAAACAAAAAACAAAAAAAAAAACACCATTATATATGCTATTTTGCAATGATATATTGTTCAAATATGCAGGAGATACACTAGGCAAGATTGCTTCTCACAAAGCTGGCATTCTAAAGGTACAGGACTTTAAGCAAACTCAAAGGGATATGGAGTATGGTGTTTTTTCTACTTATTATAGAGTGCTGATCACTGAAGAGAATAGAGTTTCACGCCTTTCACTTTCAATTGTTTTTTCTGAATTTTGTTATTTCCTGTGCTTGAGTTCCTGAAGCTTGGAGTTCCTGCTTTCACAGTGCCTCAACCTTCTGAAGCAATGGAAGTTCTTTATGACAGGGCACAGAAATTGATGGTACAACTCTGAAGAAAATGTATTTAATTCATCAACATACATTATATGCGAATTTGCATTATGAAACAAAGTGTTAGTAAATTCCAATCCCTATCCCAGGGTTGATACCTCATTACACATTATAATGAGAATGTTGAATACTTGAATGGCTAATTACTTGCATTACATTTTAATGATCTGTGACTTAAATTGCAGATTTTATGTATTATATATCTTGGCCTTCTTACAAGAAACTAATATCAGAAAATTGTTTTTTACCAAAGAAGTAAACTGATACTCTGTATATAGCTATGCACCAAAATTATTGTATATGTGCCTTTACATTGAATTTTACTCATTACTAGTTATCCTTTTGTGAAGGTTCCATTGAAAGTAGTCACTCCACTTGACAGTAAGATGTTAAAAGATGTAAAGCTAATCTTGTCCGGTGATCACCAGCTCACAAATGCTGCCCTTGCCATCTCACTTTGTAAAAGCTGGCTTAAAACTACAGGATCATGGCAGCTTGAAAATGTTGGTTGATTCTGTTTATCCTTTCTTCTTGTTAGTTTAAGAACATGCTGATATCTCAATGGATAATCTGTATTCATGACAGTTGTGAATTTTTGTGATTCTAGATTATAAGGCTATATAGTTTATTTACTCTAACTATTAATAGTAACAGCAACTTAGGCTTCCAGGTTTTTGTCCATCAAAACTTATAGGATACATAGGACATGGCCTTCTTTTTTGATAAGTTACATTCGGGGTGAATTCTTGAAACTACACCTTGAAGTATGTAAGCAGTACTTCTCTTTGGTAACACTGGACTTTGAATAGAGGCTCTTTCATTTGCTCTTCTTTTCTACCCCTTCCTTTCTTCACTTTGTGGAGTGCATTTGGGTGTTGGAAGGTGAAGCTGAGCCCATGACCTAATAGGGATGTTGGTACTTCTTGGCCACATAGCTCCAACCTTGAGGATGGAATGAAGCTTTGCAGGGTTTGGCCAATTACTTTAGTATTCAATAAGATAAGTACTTCATGTGTTAGTAGTACGCTGAGAAAGTATCAGTCACTATGGCAATAACAGTGGTATTTGTGGATAAAATCTTATTATCTTTATTGTGAGTGACAATGTATTTGTGCTTGGTCTTTGGTTAGTAGCTTATTTCCTTGCACTTAAATCATACTAGTATTCACTAGCTGGGACTTTCTATAATCCAAGAAGATATATGCTTTGGTATTTTTGAAGGTTTAGGAGGGACCATAGCCTCTTTCTTGTCCTGCCTTTCATGTTCTTATCATCTAAGTTAGCTTCACTCTTTGCTTGCATTGTATTTCATCTTCCTATAAATCATTGGAGACTCGTTGGCATACTGATGTATTTGTTAATATTCACATACATATTTACTCCTTGTTTACTAGTCCTTTGATCAAACTGCTTGATTTTTTTGAATGTCTAATCAGGCTGACTGGGACGAGACTTTGCCACACAAATTTCTTATGGGGCTTTCAAATGCACATCTTTCTGGTAGAGCTCAGATCGTTCATGATGACACTATAAAAAATTCATCAGGAGTAAATGGAAGTTCTGGAGGTTTGACCTTCTACTTGGATGGAGCTCACAGTCCTGAGAGCATGGAAGCCTGTGCCAGATGGTTTTCTGCTGTGGTGGGAGAAAATAAAAATTTATCTCATTTGTTATCTTGCTCAAAAAATCTAACTCCAAAAAAAATCTGGGTTAATGGTTGCATCCAGGACGGTGACAAGCAGGAACCCTACAAAATGTCAAAGCAGGTAAAATCTCGAAGAGATGATTTTTGTTACATGCTCCAACACAGTGCGCCTTATTTCAGTATATGTAGTCTGATATGGTTAATGGTTTATTTGCCTGACTGCAGGTTCTTCTATTTAATTGCATGGATGTAAGAGATCCACAAATTCTTCTGTCACGGTTGGTTAGTACCTGTGCTTCATCAGGTATATAAACAAATGCGGAAACTAGCCACTTGTCTACTCATTGATGATAATGGTTGTCTCAATGTATGAGACAGCAAATGAACTATTGACCCCTTTTTGAGTATGAATGGTATGAAACCACTGACTTGTTAGTTCCTCCTAGTGCCTTTCACATCTTTGCAAAGCATCATAACCAATATCCTTCTAGTAAAGGAACAGTGTCTGCAACATGCTAGTTCTCTATTCGTGAATGTTCAACTTTATATTCTCTGCTTGGTGATATTCCTTTATTTTTCTCCCTTTTTGATTTACATGTGAATACTTCTATCTGTTTGTATGAATATAATGAAGGAACATGTGCCTGCAAACAACAGTATGGTTTAATTGTGCATTATTTTTGGGATATCCAAGTGTAAACGATGTACCAGGCTCAGCTGCCAACAACTATCCAGTTTTGTATAGTTCAATAAATTTGCCATCGAGTTTTCGTAAAAATTTCTGTTTTTAGTGTTTTTTACCAGACTTTCTTCATCAGTCTGCAACCTCAGAAGTAATGAATTGCATGTATGATGGATTCTTTACAGGTACTCACTTCTCAAAAGCTATTTTTGTGCCAAGTATGTCTGCATATAACAAGGTTACTTCTGGTACCTCAACTATTCCTTTAAACATTCCTCAAAAGGATTTGTCATGGCAATTCAATCTTCAGAGAGTGTGGGAAAGAATTTGCTGTGGCAAAGGTGACTTTTCTTTTCTTCCTTGCAAACTGGGCTGTCTTAGTTTTTCCCATCTTTCCATACTTCCCTCTCTCATATTTGTCATCCATGACATGTTTCAATTTTTGCAGTATTTATAAGGTAATAATCACCATAGGTAATTAGTAGTTACTAAGGCTATACTGGACAAACATTTATTACGGAGTATTAAATTGAGATAGTGCTTGGGACTTGAGAGAGGGTTTCTCAGCAAGATTAATTGATTAATTCATGTAGCTGAAAAGCTGTGAAACTATATAACAATCTTTAAATAGCTATACTTGTTTGCATTAGCTAGGAAATGTATTTGAAAATTATCAGTTGCCAAGCCTCACGTTAACGTCACTTCCATGCAGATGTTCATGTTCTAGACCAGAACCTGAACACGAATACATCAGGAAATGTACCACCCTGCAAGTTTCTTTACAAGGATGCTTCCTCTTGCAGTCGGGGAGATGAGTATTTTGGCAGCGCTGTGTTTCCTTCATTACCGTTGACAATAAATTGGTTGAGGAATTGCGCTAAGGAAAACCCTTCCTCTAGGATTCAGGTAAAAAACACCTGCAATGTTGACATTATTGATAATTTGGTAGCAACATTGCATCATAGAAGTAATGCACGTAACAATCATTCATTACATTCCATTGGTTCTCTTAATAAAAAAGAAAACTGTCATATACCCACATTTTAATTTTTTGAAAATTGAACAATCAAATTCTTAAGAGGTCTAACTGTCCTGCATATTCTGGATATGCAGGTTCTTGTCACAGGCTCATTGCATCTGGTTGGAGACGTGTTGAGGTTATTAAAGAGATGAATACAAGAATTCTTTACAGGTCTAACTATCCTGCATATTCTGGATATGCAGGTTCTTGTCACAGGCTCATTGCATCTGGTTGGAGACGTGTTGAGGTTATTAAAGAGATGAATACAAGAATTCTTTACACACAAAGGATAAAATAACAGTCGATCTGAAAGGTAAATATGCATTTTTACCGTGATAAACTTCTCCTCCCCATTAATTTTGGGTTTTTACAGTTTATTCACCCAACCAAAGCTATTACTCATAGTACATTTATTGTATTTCTTACTACTGTTGGTTTGTTGACTGCAACCTGTATTTGTTGCACTATATATGCACATTTCTAATTAATTGAGTTTGTCACTTAAATGACAGGAATTGACAAATATATGCACATTTTGTAAAAATGTGTTCCCAAACCTAGACAAAAGTATGTTAGGCAAAAGGAAAATTCAACTGCTGGTTAAAGAATTTGTTCATAGTGGAAAATGCCATAGCTTAATCCAATATTCAAATTAACATTTTTATTGGCATTTATTGATCCCCTAAAATCTTTCCACTCCGAGAGTTAAATACCATGGTTTGACTTGGCCACAGGATTTGTTCAGTATGCTGAAATTAATAACTACAAAGTCTTCTTACTCTTTTATGAAAAATGGGCATATTTTGATCAATTCTACCAGATGATGAGTATGAGAATCTATTCCTGTTTCTTTTAGTTGGGATTGTAATTTTATAGTGTTCAATAATTGAAGGATGTGTTCCGTCTCAGGTAAAAGTCTAAGTTATTAGGGCTAACTTTGATACCAAACCGAAGGATATGTTCCATCTTGACTAGTTTTATATGCGCATTTGCGTGATTGATTTAAGTGTTTGTATTTAAATAAGTAATTCAAAGTATATCAATGTAAGATTATATAAGAAAAATTCATTATAATTTATATTAAAATTAATGTTTAATTTACACTTTTCTAAAAATATTTATCTAAATACTTATTGTAGTTGGTAGGGTATAAGTTTTGTTAATTTGCTTTTGGATAGGTTTGTCAAGATTTTTTCTTCATTGCTTGTCCGTTTCTTTTTTGTTTGTAGTGTCTCATATGTAATTGGGTTACTGATATTAGTTTGCAAAAAGAGAAATAGATGCTAATATTTATAAAATTGATCCTACCATTTTTTAGCTATTGATCATACTAAATGGATGAATCAAATTAGTCAACACTTATCACGAGAAACCTAATTCACATTTGATCATTAATTTGTGTGTATGTGTGTACAAAATGGATGGATCAAATTAGTCTACACTTATCACGAGAACCTAATTCACATTTGATCATTAATGTGTGTGTGTGTGTGTGATCGGTGAGAACGAGTTGCCTAGGATAGAACTAAAAATCACTCACAGTCGTCCATGTGTTCAGATCTAACGGATCATAAACACTAATTTAAAAAAAAAAATGCGGTGAAATTTTTTGAACATTGAAGTGCAAGTAAATTGTGTTAAAATTGGAAGTAACAGTTTCATATAGTGTACTTAAGTGCAAGTAAAATGTATTATAAGTGTAACAAATAATGTACCGAGCATCAATATATATATATATATATATATATATATGCTCAGCATGAATTATAATGATTTTTTTAGGATACATCTTATGGAGATGAAAGTGATGAGATATTAATCGTTTCGAAAGAGATGTAATTTTATGGTAATAATAAGTATAATAGATATGAAGGGACCATATTGTGATAGCTAAAGGCACCTAAACATTATCATGTACATGAAGGTATTTATATATATCCGCCAACCCTAAATCCCTAATTTGAGTTTTTTGCAACACCTACTACCCCTCATCCCCAATCCCCATTCCCCAACGCCATGCCTAGAAGTCTTATTTTCTTTTGTTTGATCTGAAACAAATCTTCCCTTGTACTTTCTTGAAGTCTAACAATTTTATATGGGAAAATGAATTTTGCCGTTTTGTTATCCATGCCTTCGTGGTGTAAATTTAGTCTTTACATTTTTAATAAAGTCTTGGGTTTTGTTTTTAAGGTTTTAACTACTCTGTAAAACCTAATTTTAGAGATAAAATTTATCGCTTCATTAAAAATTTGAGACCTAAACTTACATAATAAATAATTTATGGATGAAATTTATATTACATTAACAACTGAGTAAGTGTCATTTTCTCATTTACAAATACGTTTTTCTCATCGAAATGTCACTATGACACTAATCAATGATCCATTATTATTATGAAGTAGAAATAAACTTTTGTACTGCCATAATATTTTTTTTATTAAAAAAAAAAAAGAAAGAAAAAGATAGAGGAGTTTGTTGCACGGATCTTCCTAGTGTGATTTACCTTTTCTATGTAATTTATGAATTATTACATTGGAATGAGATTTACCAAACGCATACATTCGGATAATAAATATAGGTTTTTCTCGTCATAAAAAAAAATCAAAATATTTTGTTATTTTTATTTTTGGTAGAAGGTACCGAACATTTTTCTTATAATAATACATATATAGATAGATGCATACATATATGTGGGTGTGAGGGATGAGGAGGGATATGGCTAATAGCAACGCATTTTATTCTTATTATTCGGATTTTGGCCTAAGCGTTATGTAGAATGGCAAATTTTATTACGGACTGTGGTCCACGTAGCAATGTAAATCATGTAAAAAAAGAAAAATGACGGTTATTTGAAGTTTTTTAGTTAACAATGGTAGACAACAAATTCCGTTATAGCCCATGTTGCAACTCTTCTCATTATTCAGTTTCATTTTATACACACGGTTGTTCCATTATAGCACCACTAAAATATTTTTCTAATTCAACTATAATTTTATTTGACACTATACACTCAATATGTGAGACCTAATATTCAGTTTCATTTTATACACAATGTAGTTTCATTACAACACCAATAAAGTATCATTATTATTCAACTATAGTTTCATTTGATAATATACACACAATATGTGATACTTATTATTCAGTTTCATTTTATATATACACGGTAGTTTCATTACAGCACAAGTGCACAACTAAAGTATCATTCTAATACAGCTACAGTTTCATTTAACAATATACACTCAATATGTGAGACATGTTATTTAGTTTCATTTTATACACATTTTAATTTTATTACAACATCATTTAAAAAAATAAAAGAAACAATGTCGTTTTGGACTATGATCCACACAATTAATCCATTGTATAACGATTGGTATATAATTGTGCACTATGAGGCGCGGTTTGCTTTAAATTGGTTAGTCTCAAACTAATATTACTACTATTATTATTAGAGTTAATACCCTAAATGGTCCTTGATTATAATGGTATTTCTCAATTTCGTCCTAAACAATTTTGATGACTTAATATAGTTTCAGACTTTTGTATTTTTGTTCAATTTAGTCATCCGTTTGTTATTTCATCCATTTAGTATTAAATAGAGTGATAATTCAGTAATTTTAGTATTGACATCTTTTACTCCTAGACGTGCGAAGTGCAAAATCTCTCTTTCTTTTAGGAATTATTCACAGAATTACTCCCAAATCTGCGAATATAAAATTTTTGATCTTACCACGAGATGTCATGAGCAGGCACTAACAGGGCGTTTGGTTGGAGGAAATTTAAATTTCCTTCTCACTTAATTCCCACCTAATTCCAAAGGCCATAAAATTCCTTAGTTTGATTAGAAGGAATTGCAATTCCCCTCACTTTCATGAAATTAAAATCCCATAAAATTATAAGTCCTTTCCCACGTAATTCCCCCCTCCAACCAAACGCCCTTAAATGAATTTTCCAATCAAAGAATTGTACGAATAAAACATGCACAAATTTAGGGATTTCTTAGCGCTTGATGACGTTTTCAAGTTCATCTTTCTTATAATCACATTGAGTTTTAATTAATTCGAAAACAAACTACTATCAGTTTTCATATTTGCAGATTTTTCAATACCTATTAGGCTATTAAGAAGGCTCAAATTTTAAATTTACTTGAAAGAAATCAAATTCATTATACTTGGATTGCATAATGTTAATGGAGGGAATTTTAATTTTGGTCATATGACTATAGGGGTCTTGTTAATTGAGCCTATAGTCATATGACCAAAATTAAAATCTCCTCATGTTAATTAATTTTGAGAGTCGATAATTGACGTTAATGGCATGACATGTAAATATAAAGGAAAATTCAAAAACAGTATAGCCAAACTACGCATGAATATTCAATTAAACCAAAATTAATTTGTTTGACTAGTTATTGATGACGTGTTTGATTATTTTAATAAAAAATATTTTTTTTTTTAAAAAAACAAACCTCTTCATCTCTGTCTGGAGACGAAGAACTTTTTTTTTTTTCAATTTAAAAGTTATTTTTAAAATGTTTTAAAAATTAATAAATTAATTGCCACATCAACAATGACCGATCAAATGTCAATTTTGATTTAATTGCATAATTTTAAGTCGTTCATAGACCCAATTATAATTTTTATTAGTTCGATGATCCAATTACATATTCACGTAGTTCAATTGTCTATTTAAGTATTATTCTTTAAAAGAAAAGTATTATTATTTTTAATTGATAATGCATTTACTCAAATGGATAATGTATGACTTTAACACATACCATAAATAAAATCAATAATAAAAGTTTAGATTTTGGAAAAAGTCAATCATACCCTATATTGAATGTTGGAAAAAAAAATTGTTAGTGTATATGTTTAGTTTCGATTTTGGGGGTATTTAGTAAATAGCTTTTGGCCGATAGCTGTTAGCTGATTGAGTTAGTGAATTTGATTAATTGATAGTATTATTGGCTGATTGTAGAAAGATGTTTGATAAATTAGTTGTTAGCTGATTATATGTAAAATGACTTTCTCAAAAAACTAATTGAAAAAATTGTTTTGTACAGTTTTTTGAATTTTAGCCTTTGCCTTTTTTGATATTGATCGATATTGATCAATATTGATGAGGTTAAATTACTTGTTAAACCCTACATGTTGAAATTGCATAAACCTCAATTAGTCCTTTAATTCATATTTAGTGTGTTGGTCCCTGGCTCCCTGCCTATTATTTTGTCAAATCTAATTTGTTAGGTTAATTATTTATGAATTAATGCACTTTATTACGATTTAATTATACAAAATTATATTTAAATGTGTAAATTTTGATGCAAGAAACATCGTCTCTAAATTTTTTATCACTGCTCAGAAAGGGATCGGAAAAAAATTATGTATATACAATATATTTGTCAATTATATATTTATATATAAGTTTAGCTATTAATTCGTTCGATTTGGAATATATAATTAGTTATGGTAAGTATTATTAATAATTAATACTATATGTCAATGAT